AAAAGAAAAAAGCAAAACAAAAGGAAAAAAAAAAAAAAAAAAAAAAAAAACCATCGTGCACTGATGGTTTTTTGGGCAATAGCCTGCCCAGTATTTTTTCATTTTTTTTATTTAATTTAATTATTTTTCAATTTTTATTTTTTATCTTCTATCAATACCTGTAGTTATCTACAATCAATGTAGTCATTATCATGCTTGTAGGCATCTAAATTTGAGTTTTACTTCATCGGATATTGTCTGGCTATTCATATATGGATGTTCATATACAGTACATCAACCTATAGTATACTACGGTGTACTATGGTATACTATGGGGTACTATTCCAAACCCTAGCCGCGAACCCTAGCAGTCGACGCAGCCGCCGTGAAACCCTCGCAACCAACAATTGCAGCTACCGCACCCGTAGTCACCTACCTTATTTTGAAAACCCTAGATCTGGAATTTTGAACCCTAATGTGTGCCTCCACGCAATCGTTGCCCTAATTAAGAACGTTCTCAACAACATTTACCAAATTGAATAAAAATAACAAATCAGATCTAAACCAAGCCAAAACTATTTAAAATAAATCAATAAAAACATATGCAATTAGTCAAAATATACTTTTAATCACATATCTATACAAAAAATTCAAGAAAATTAGCAAATCTTTACAAAAAAGAATAAGAAAAACCTGCTCCCTCCGCCATACAACACCCCACCGCTGCCGCCTCCACCACTACTTCCTCCGTCGCTCCCCTCCTGCTCTCTTGGTCGCCGACCTGTGTATTTGATAGAGAAGTAAGATAGAGATGTAAGAGAAAAAGAGATAGAGAGAGATTGACATACAGTAGACTAGAGATAGGGGGAAAGAGAGAAAAGGAGAGAAGACGAAAGAAGAGAAATAAATCTGAGATGAGAAATGTGATATATGTAAGTTATAAGATTTAAGGTATAAGAACAAGATAGGGATTAAAAAAAAATTAGGGATGTGGGTAATATATTATTTCAAACTAGGGATTTAATTAAAAGATTGAATTTTGACTTGTCATTTAATTCAAATTAGGTTTGATTTGAGGGATTCATAGCATATTAACCCTTCTTTTTAATTGTACATTTGGTAGATTGTGATCTATGATTCTCCTCTATATGTGTATGTGGCGAACCCAAGATTCCAGGTGTTTGGAATTTAATATAATAAAAATTATAACAAACATAAAATATGTAGAAAACAAATACACCCCTTTTTAGGAGTGTGCACGGGTCATAAACCTGCGGGTTCTAGCAAAACTCGCCCTCGTCTCGTTAACCAATGTTCTTAATTTTATGGAATCAAACTTGTGGGTTTTCGACGAATTTATGATAGACGGGTCGATGACGGGTTTATAGTAGGACCCAATCTTCACGGGTCGAAACCCATCACTCATCACAATTAAATATATATATATATATATATATATATATATATATATATATATATATATATATATATATATATATATATATATATATATATTTTAATAATTTATAAGTTTCACGAGAAGCTATTTTGAAATTAAAATAAAACAAATACGTTTTGTATGGGGGGACGGGTTTCACGGGTATTTAGACAATGTTAATTCGTCTTAGACTAAACCCGCTGATCTTATCCATTTTAGGACCCAATCCTATTGATGGATCTATCAGTCCGGTCCTAGTAGGGCTATTTTTACCGAGTTTGACGGGTTCAACGGGTTGATGGGTCCGACTTGGTCACCCCTACCCCTTTTATATAAAATAAATAAATTCAGTTTATCCTTTGATGAAGTGATACGAACCTCGCATAACTTGTTACGAGACCCTAATATCTTACGCGGAAGCAAGATCGGAACGTCCAAAGAAAGGACTCAATTGGCGGAATTCGGAACATTGACCCCGTAGCTATAGAGAGCTAGAAACTAATATTATCAAGATGAAAGTATTGACCCCGTGATTATTATGAATCAGAAACCAACACTATATCAATAAGAATAGTTCACAAGAATCCACTCGCAAAATATCCAGAAGAGTTGTTGAAGAACAACGAAGGAGAATTGTAATCTCTCAAATTAATGCTTAAAAATCGTCTGAATAATAATGAACCTAAAACAACATATTTATAAGTGTCAAAGAGACCTAATCTAACAAGGAAAATAAATCATAACTTATCTATTATAAGGAAATAACGAAATAAACTAAATCTAGTCCAAATGGGACTCTAAATAGCAAGAAATAAATTGTCCAATAATAAAATACGAAAATTAATAATAAGCATCTTTTCCAAGTCACGTCTTCTCGGCTGGATGACTAGACGGGCTCAAGTCCTTGAGCTCGGCTTGCTTCACAATCTGGCCCAATAATTCGCTCTAATTAAGTTCAGCTAGGATCGAACTAGACTTCTTCAATTCTTCCTTTCGGAGCTCGTGTTCTACTAAGATAAGCATGGCTGCTTCAATGCGCTTGGCCCGAGCTCGCGTAATCGGTCCTCTTGGTACATGCAGCTCGTCCAAGTCATCAACTCCTTCATCCAGCTCGGCACTACCTCGCGTAATTGGCTGGATCGTATCATCCTCCCCCTCTTGAAAAGGATTCGTCCTCAAATCTGAACATACATCAAACGGAGATAGGTCAGAAACATTAAATGTCGAACTAACTTGATACTCACTTGGAAGGTCTATCTTATAAGCATTATCGTTAATCTTTTCCAGCACTTGGAAATGTCCATCTCCTCGTGGCTTAAGTTTTGAACATTCACTTATTGGGAAACCTTTCCTTTCGAAAATAAACCCAAACCCATTCTCCTTGCTGAAAGGCAAGGTGCTTTCGCCCCTTATTAGCTCGGTTCGCAACTTGCTCATTTCTCTTCACAATGTGCTCGCGTGCTTCTTCATGGATTTTCTTCACTAAATCAGCCTACACTTCCCATCTAGACTAGAAATCTCATTAACAGGTAAAGGCAACAAATCCAAAGGAGTTAGTGGATTAAAACCATAAACAATCTCAAAAGGTGAAAACTTTGTAGAAGAATGCAACGATCTATTATACGCGAACTCAATAAAAAGAATACATTCCTCCAATGACTTTAGGTTTCTTTTAAGAACAACTCGCAATAACATACCTAAAGTTTGATTAACTACCTCGGTTTGACCATCGGTTTGTGGATGACAAGTAGTAGAAAAGAGTAAACTCGTACCAAACTTACCCCACAAAACACGCCAAAAATGACTAGGGAATTTAACATCCCTATCACTAACAATAGTACGAGGTACCCCATGCAATCGCACTACTTCGCTAAAAAATAAATTTGCTACATGCGTAGCATCATAGGTTTTATGACATGGAATGAAGTGTGCCATTTTAGAAAAACGATCTACCACAAAAAAAATAGCATCTCGACCTTTACTAGACTTCGGCAACCCTAAAACAAAATCCATTGATACATCGGTCCAAGGGTGAGTAGGAACAGGTAATGGCATATATAATCCATGTGGTTTAACCCTAGATTTAGCTCGCCTACATGTTAGACACTTCAAACAGACCCTCTCAACATCTCGCTTAATTCATAGACGGCCAGAAGAAATGTTCTTTTAAAATATCTAATGTTTTAGAAACACCAAAATGCCCCATTAAACCACCTCCACGTGACTCTCGCACAAGTAATTCACGAACCGAACAATTAGGCATGCAAAGTTTGTTATCCCTAAACAAATAATCATAATATTGTAGAATTTTTCAAAAGTTCATTTTTGACATGCAGAAAATATAGTAGCAAAATCATGATCGTTCACGTACAGCTCGTTAACATTCTCAAAACCTAAGAATTTAGCACCAAGGGTAGACACGAGAACAT